TGTGTTATTATGTCACCTCTTGAAAAATTTTCATAAGCTTCTATGGTCGGTAACCAAACGGGCTGGTTATATGAATCACGGTTCTATTAGAATCTTTCAAGATGCATTTATGATACCTTGGTAAGCTCTTCACGTGGTTGATGCTATTATTACTGTGATTTTTTATCCAAATATGTTTTCCGTATAAATTTCCTACTTCAATTGAATTATATTAGCAGCACATGTGTAAAAACGTCAATCATATTTTGTTACTTTACCATGACAACAGTAACTGCGAATAAAAACATGCAGAAAGCATACTTCATGCATTATTTACACAGTTGAATAAATAGGGAATACGTTTATTCGTGATCAACAAAAAATGTTTATTCACAACAGGGATCGAATTTAATTTTAACTTAGCAGTCATTAAATTTAAATTGCTTAAGTCGTGTACAAATTAAACAAACATTAAACATTGAAAATCATAAGTACAGTTCAATAAATTCAAGTAGTTGTTATCTACTTTTCCATTGTTGACAAATTTCGTATTACATTCGTAACAAAAAAACCCGCTTTCTGGAAGCAATTAATCCGTTGAATAAAAGTTTGTGTTGATTTCATAAGTGCTTGTTTGACTTTTAAAAATAATAAATTAGTGGAAACAACTTAATAATTGCAGGAAAAGATTGTTTTATTTTATTCCGTTATATTTGGTTCCAAAAAGTGATGAAAATCATTTTCCCACTTAATATCAATCGATTGGAAGTTGACAATTTTGGCTTTAGAACAGTTGTCACATATATTAAAACTTCCAAATTAGATCAATCATGCTCAGACTAATGATTCCAAAGTGAATAGATATTCGCAAAAGAAAACATTTTTGTTGCACTATCACTAATCTGTTATAACTGGTTTAGATCTATGCTAAGTGTCTTCAATTCACATCTAAGTGACTGTTTCTCTTCAGAAATATTAATTTTCGTGGGACAACATTTAAACTTAAGCTAATGACCGAAATCACACAGTTAATTAATTAGGTGAAGTATATTAATCTTAGAATGTGTTACTTGTGGACAGAGTACACAGTACCACAACTATTTATAAATCTGCAAGAAATTCGAGTAATAATACCATGGGTTTATTTTATAACCTATCAAAATAAAAATATTACAATCTAAACGAAACTGAAGTTTCCTTAATTGGTTAAACGTCAGTTTATAAATTAAACTTTTCAACGACAAACCAAATTCAGTAAAACAAAACGAAAAGAGTGGAGAAATGTCTTTTCAATTCGTTTTCCATCATGGCTCTACACCAATATATATTTGATTTGCATCAATGAAATAATACTCATTGAGTACTTACGTTACGTAATAATTGCATATCAATTTGATTATAAAGTAATATTGAGTAATTGAAAGAAAGAGGATCATAACAATCAAAACGGTTGTTTGACAAACTAAATAGTTGTTAATTGCACAATGTATAGGAAGAACTAATAAAATAGTTTGATGAAAAGTTAGTATTATAGTAGTTATGTAAAAATTAAGAGACGAATGTTGAGAACATACAGAAATACAAGAGTGGAAGAAACTAGAAAGTTGTCTAAATATTTTGAAGGAAAGAGCCTAATCAAAGTCCAAATAAAAACTTATTCCTATACCGATCGTCAAGGTAGCAAGAACGGTTGTACAAAATTTTTTGCATGCAAAGGTTTGCTTTGTGAACATGGATTTCGATGGCTTCAGCAATGTGAAGAAGAAGAACTCGTAAACCATGTGGGAAATTTGATGAAATATGATGGATATCCTTAGAAGCTTTATTCAAGTCAACTTGATGACTTATGTTCACCAAGGGGGCGAGGATGGAACTCTTAATCACTCTTACCTGTCCTTTACGCAACCAAAACGAATGTTGCGTTATGCGATGACGGACTTGTCGAATTGTGCGCTCTATATAATTGGCTTCTCAGGAACAGTTGGATTGGTAAATATACATGAATGTGGCAAATTCTACCAGTCCGTCTTTATTTATGGTTTTCGTTATCGGGCAATTATAGAAAACTACAATCTAATTGGTTGTACTAAATGTTTTCTGACCTCATTTCTTAACCATTGGGTCATAATTTCTTGGGTGGCATCATTTAGAAGTTGTAATTTTAAAAACAATATTTTCTTCGGAACTGTAGATAGATTTGGTCTTCTTTTCATCTCATTCATGTGTCTGTTCATGAGTTTCGTTAGATATCCATTCCTACTAACCAGGTTATGAATATTACTCGAACAATTTACAATGGTTTCATTAGAGTAAATCATTCTAGCATGACGAGTCAGGATCTTTACTAAGTTTGTTTGATATCTGATTGATACAGCACTATAGAAACAAGTGTATTGTCCAACTGCAAACTCCCTATTTATTCCCTCCTTTTAATGTTCCATCTACTCTTGTTGTCAGTTGGATACCCAGAAAAGGTATGCTATTACTCTGTTCTTCCTTATGTGTAAAAGTAACAGATGGATGGATGTTATAAGGTATATTACGTAAACCATTCTTCACAAGCTTTTTTCTAATACTATAAACGTATCATCTATGTAACGACAGTAAGGTGTTAGATGATTGACTATGCCTTCAAGTGGTCCATTTTCTAATCCTGCAAGTAAAATGTTTGCCAGGAGAGAGCCCAATGGTAACCCCATGGCTATACCATCTAAGTTTCCATAGTATTCATTGTCGAATCGGCAGTGGACATTCATCGTGCATCTAAGAACTAACTGTTTTATTGTGGATACGGGGATTAAGGTTTCTATGTTAGTTAATTGCAAATAAAATCCACAGTTTCCAGTAGTGAAATGTTAGTGAGTATAGACGATACATTTAATGACGATAATGACATAATTTAGTAATATTTTTACAAACCGTTGTATATCGGTTTAGTTCCAACGTGCTTTTGAGTTTCTCAAGTCTCAACCTTTTAAATATTGTGAAGAAAGAACATGTTTATTGCCAGACATTATCCAAGTCTCTTGACATGGTCGCTTTTTAGCAAGCTTTTTATCTACATTGAGCCAAGTTTTATTCCAACGGTTAAGAAATCTTATAACAAGTATATTTACCTATGCAAAAGACAGTTGACTTTTCAAATCATCCGAAATGCTAATTCGATTTCGCCAAATTACTTCTGCATGAAATCTTATTATTTTCTATTACTATTTATATGATCACATTATCAATCTTTCTGTTGCCTAGAAAAGCGACTACAGTGTGTTATATCAAATCTCTATGTTAATGCTCTTTTAGACCTTTAATTGACTGTGAATGCTATTTCCCATTGAACAAAATCGTTTCAAGTTTTTCACTTTTTCAACCCACTTGGTCATCTTTTTTTAATACTTTAGTAAATAAAATCCCACTTTGGTAATCTTATGAAGTCAAAAATATTTTCGAATCCGTTTCGAGATAAATATTATATTCGTGTAAAAGTAAGTAATATTCAAGCAAAAAGCACGAAAAAAATCAACTTCTTAACATTTCCTCATTAATCCAAACAACTTAAGGATCCAATTATTATTGTTTTGTATCTCTTCAATTTAATAATAAGCACTCAGATACAATAGATAAAGTCTAGTTCGTCACTAAACACGAATGTTTTTAACTCCTCTTAGCATAATGATGAATTAACTTTATAATTAATGGAACTTTGCTGGATCTTTGAAGTGAACTGAGAGAGTTTCAGTAATTTAACAAAAGAAAATTGAAAGTGTTAATATGTATAATCGAATGAAAAATTCTTTATTTATTTATGGTGACATTTTGGGGAGTGCTTTTCTTCTTTATTTTATAGGAAGTCTATTAAATCACAAGTAATTTTAGTTCATCATACGCAACTATATTAAAACTGGCTCATAGTCATTCTGTTTAAATGTTTGTTCTAATTGAGTATCGCATTCAATTCCAGGGGTGTTGACGAAGATCATGGTTATTTATTGCAAATATTTTATTATTGCTTTACTGACACACAGAAAGTATTACTCGGTAGTTTTTTAAGAGGAGATTACAGTTTACAAGCTTGATAAAAATTGCAATTGCAATACATTATATGCATTTCAAATGAAGCTGTGAGAGTCATTACAACTGGTGAATCTATTAATTATCTGGTTGCTGGCATTCAATGAGAATGGTTCAGTGTCATTTCCATAGTAAGTTTGGGGGGTTGATTTTGACCAGCAAACTGTAAACTAGTTCAAACCTTATTATAAAATACCTGTTATGATGCACAAAGATAACTGAATAGTTCTATCTGATTACATAATGTGATTTTCTCGAAACTCTAATATGGCTCTAAATTTACTGAACATTAACCCAACGCTTTAGAAATGTTAAACAGTACGTTTCGCCATTTCTTAATACAATGTTAAAAATCATGAAGAGGATAAACGTTCAAAATAATTCGAACATATCTATTTACGGAAATCAACTGAAATGATTTCAGCACAAGATATGTAAGATGGAAGTCTTTTTTCAAGTTTATTTTATCCCTATCCCAAAGAAAGTGATTTTAATTAAACGCGGTTATCCTTTTAAAGTGCTTATAACCCTAAAATGTAATATATTTTATCACCAAGTGACTAGTTTCAATTTTCATAGGTCAAAAGCCACTCATGCTGTCCCTAATTACTTTCAGATGCTCGAATAAAACACAATTTTCAGATATACCAATTTATCGCCTTACATTAATGTAAATTATATGGTAATAACTTGAAAGTTTTAATAGAAAAAATGGTAATAAGCATACTTAATAGTCAGCAATATCATCAGTAAAATGGTTTACAGAAACACATCATGTTTTCATCCTCATTTGAAATGAAATTTTGGCAAGTGCATTGGGATTCATTGTTTGGACCAACCTGTCTTAAATTAAATTGCATATATCAAGAAAGTTAAGGAGATGCTTAATTCCTTCGATTCCACTGAAACAAATGATACATTTTTCCCAAATAACGAGCGCATTGAGAATATGTTCAAGAATTTAGATTATGTGATTTCCAACAGGGGAATATGCACTTCAATATTTGTTTGAAATCAGTCTGAAATTAAAAGGTTACATTTAAAACATGTAAATACCCTTTAATACGTTAGTTTGAAAGAACTCTAGAAGTCTTTTTAAAAAATAGAATTACCAGTAAAAACTATGTGTCTAGATTTTAAAAACGTTATACGAATAATCCTGTAAACCATACAAACCATTGATTGTATTCAAAACTCTTCAAACCAAATGAGTTCATATTGATCTTTGAAGTCATGTTTTCTGGAGGAAATCAAGTGTCATACATGTACTTACAGTTACCATTATTTCAGTAGTCTATTAAATAACTCTTGGATATTACAGCTCATGAAAAGTAGAAAAGCAGAACAAAACATCAGCTAATAAAATGCAAATTAGACTATTATTTATGAGCTATATAGATTCAAATCTCTAGTTCTATAAAGAAGCTCTAAGAAAGTCAATAAATTGAAAATAAAAGTATTTTACACTGTCAAATCTAAATTTAAACTACGTTTAGTCTATTTTATTTTTTCCATATACCTACAATAATGAAACAACATACCATTTTTAACTCCCTTTTGACGTATAATCTCTTAAACGTCGAATTCTTTTGGTTGACCACTTGTCAGGCAAAAGAATATTCAAATAAATCCATAGTAGTTATTTAATTTCTTGCGAATGTATTTAAGCGTATATTTTACAAAAGTTCGTTTTTCTCATTGATCATTAAATATTAATGAGCTCTCTGAGTTCTGAATCAAATAAATAGTGATGACCGAATAGAGCGAAGGTGTGTAATATCGTATTATTAAGTAATAGCCATTTCCATCAGTACTTCATAGGTTTATTGATTTATTGTCAAACGAACAATGAAGTTCATCAAACGATTCTGAATGCTTATGCGCTGTATAAATAGAAGCGATAAGTTTCATCTTTATCCTTTCAGTGAGGAACTGCAACAATTTTTCTTATGAAATTCGATCTTCAATGATACATAACGTAACTGCGTGTACATGTAGAGAGCAGTTACAATGGAATAAAAATGACGTTTAGATACGTCATCAAGGAAAGTAGCACCTGACCAGGAAATACAAACAAGAATTTAATTTACGGAAACTAAATGTAAGCACAACTTGTTCTCTTTAACATAAGCATTTAGCCATAATTTATAAGTGAAAAACGATTGAGAACTGTGTAAGCCTACTAAAGTTCTTTCTAAACACTACTTCGTTAACTGAAATAACAGAACTTGTCATAGTAGCTAGTAACAGGTCAACTATATGCGAAACAAAAAACATCAATTTCGGTAGATCATCTCTGGTTTGAATCTAGGGAATTGTTTTTCTGTTTAAACACTAAGCACTTTATAAAGCATAAAACATTGGTATCAAACTTCAAGTATCATATGACACATACATTTTATCTTACCCGAAACGATTTACTCATGATTAGATAAATAATTGGATTGACAAAGCTGTTCGACATTGCTATCCAGTGGCACATACCATACACAAGTCTGGTTGTATTTTCAGGCATATTGCGAAATAATGGACTAAAATCTTGTAGAAGGAAGAATAAATGTGATGGAAGCCAACAAATACCAAACATCGCGACAATGAAAGCCAACATTTTAATGATCTGTATAAGAAAATCCAAAAAGAGAATATTCATTCAAAAATTTTGTACAATGGTGTTTAAGGTATAAAACTCCCTTAAATATAATGCATGAATGTTTTTTACTAGAGAGCAAATATTACCATTTATCTTCATATGTTTCACACTCTGATTCCTTGCACAAATTTTTTTTAAAACATAGTTGATTGACAGCTACGACATGATGTTTTGAACAAAGCGCCTACAACCGAATCCTGATAAAATACTTAATAAATGTAGTAGTAAATCGAATGTTAAATACATTAAACTGATGTTCGATTAAAGCCTATTTTCCGTTAAAAGAAAACAATTCCAAACTTTGACCATTTAATGTACACAATAAATTTAAACATCAAAATAACAAATGTCACTTGAATTCCAACACAGTGTTGTAAATTTATAATGCTTACCGTAAACATCTTAATCCCTAGATTCACTTCACATGACGTCAAATCATATTTTGACAAAAGATACCTAAACAGGCAAAAACTGTTGTATTCATGAAAATAACATAATTATATAACGAAAATCATCTCTCAGTCAATAAATATATCAACAACAACAAACTATTGAAACAAGAACTTCGGAAAAGTAGTTGGATGATACCACTGCACGTTAAGGATGATTAGCACTTTATGAAACCAATTTTAATACAATTCAAATTCAAATTAACTCAGAAATCTAAACTTCTTATGATTGTTAAGTAATTTAGTGAGTGTTTAAAATGTTAACGTATTCACTCAATATTTCATACCTTATAATATCTGAGAAGTAATGCTAACAAGATCTCACTTATTTTCATCTGATCCTGAAGCCACAAAAATAAACAGTAATCAATTTTCTCGATTAAATAATAGTGTGTTGTTTGAAGATGCTAGTAATCCTGTAAACATAACGGAAGCTAAGGACAAATAAAACAAATTGTCACATCTCTTTGTAGATCCATTCTCCATGCTATATTTTTGGCCCTGTATCTGACTCCAGTAATATCGCATGATTGATTGTTGAAAAATATATATAAGTGGATAGTGTTATGTCCCGATAAGCATAATGAATGGTAGCTTTTGGGATCCATTTATGCACCACTACTATACGTATATTTTTATCGTGTGATTGTTAAATAACTAAACTATTCATATTCATGTCCCTCTTATTTTGAGCTTTAATTTAACCTATGAACTATTATTCTACAATCTACCATTCTTGAATTATGCCCTGTCTATTAATTACTACCTCTCACATTCACAGCCCCTTTAGCTAAACATTGTACAAATGTTATTTCCTATTTTGTGGTACGATGTGGTCTTTCTGGTTGGTATATAAACCTAGTATGCTTGAAATAAATGATTGATATCACAGAGGTTGAAATTGGTGTTCTGAACTTAACTGGCTGGGCTAGACAGGAAGCAGGACCGATAGGTACTCTAGACTGCTTGTATGTGTTTTATGTGTCATTGGTCCGATCGATAATTCACTGCTCTCTATTTGGCGGTATCATTACGTTATACATTAACAGGGCACCCAGGTAACAAGTTATAGCAGATAGTCAACATGGTCAAAATGTAGCTTGAGAGGAATGGATAAATTAGCCTGTCCAGAAGCTAGGATAAGTTGTGTGGGCTTGACATAGTAACCGACACTACACTCTGAATGTCGGAAATATAATTTAGAAGCATCGCTATAGATTTTGCGGGTCCATTCGTTGAACGTCATCTCCTCTATAAATTTTATCAGAAAATTAACCCATATGTCTTGACAAAACCAAGAGCTACTTTTATCAAAGTGATCTTGAAACAGGAGCCATAAGAAATATACGGTTTACAATAAAGTCAGTACTTTTCAAAATAACAAATGTTTAAAATAAATTCTTGAAGGAGTACTACTTCATATAGTTTGAAGCCACTTAAAATCAGAAGTGATGAAATCCAGTTCTGATGAGGGATGAAATCAGGTTTAAGTAATCAGTTTCCACAAAAAAAATGAGTAAAATATTAACCCATTTGTTTTAAATATAATAATGCATTATGTAGAAACAAAATAAAACCGTTCACTGTATTAACTTCAGAGACATTACTATTGATTTTCTATTAAATTAATTAACAAAAGACTGGTTAAGTATAGTGTTATTTCGTTTGATTAGTTACCTGAGAATGGAAACTTTCGCCAATTAAGATGACAAAATATTTAGGGTATTAAAGATTCCCAATGTGAAAATTAGAACAATAGATGTAAGCGAACAATTGTTTACAATTAGATCGTCATCAGGCTTTACTCTAATATATATGAATATTTATATGAAAATGTTAAACCAATCAAGGTAATTTAGGTCAATAATCACAATGAAATAGAATATGTTAATTCAATAGTAGGAAGACAGGTGTACTGATAGTAGTGAGAAAAATAAAATCTGATAACAAAAGATCACTCGAGTGATCTATCGTATGCATCCATCATTTCCCAACGGAGTTCGTCTTCGTCTCCTACACATAAATGAGGCCATAGAAATCCGTACATTTAACCCGAATTTATGTGTACAGAAGAAATTCGTGACCCGCCTATCCCTTCCATAGCCAGTTATAAATTAACAAACGACTTTTTATTTTATTTTATTTTTGTTATCATTAACATCATTTTTACATCCGGTATTTGTTTGTAATTTTCCGCTCTTTCCGTTTGTACTCTTCACTATCTAATTATTTACACACTTCTTGTTAAGTAATGGTTTTAATGTTTTGCGATGATTATTTAAATCTATTTATCCACGTTCGACCTTCTATTTCCAATATTGAACTATTGATAAGACTTTTCTTATCGTATTTTATTATTCTGACTACTATCAGTACACCTGTCTTCCTACTATTGACTTGTACGTTTACTCAATATGTATGGTGACTTATTCCGTTTCATTGTGATTATTAACCTAAATGACCTTTATTGGTTTAAAATATTTTCGTATAAATATTCATGTATATTAGAGTAAAAGCACAATAAAAGCGCATGAATGGATACATTTTAACAAGAGCCAAAACACCATGGTTTGCACAATAAGATAAATCTATTTTATTTAACGCCTTCTCATCAACTGAAAATTATAATGATTAATATAATTACTGACAAATGTTTAACACAGATTTTATTCCAGGCATTTGATTTTAGGCTGTTTGTTAGTGATGAAAAATTGTAAAATCGAATAAATCAGTTTTATTCTGTAAACCTTGTTATTCTCGCTCTTTTAACACTTATCATGAAACTAACTTGTACAAATTTTACATTGTGTTTGTTTTAGCTTAATTTGTTATCTTAGTGATTATTTCTTCTTCAGAATTAAATTCACCCAATACTATACTTTTTACAGTTATCTACTAAAAACTGGTTCTTATTCATAAATGTATTAAAGAATTGTAAACATATTTTCAATCCCCCAGTTCATTCTTTCAAATCTAGTTATCGAATAAAATTGGTCTTTTTAATATTGTAAATCATGAATACAGATTTAACTTATAAATTTTGATTGTAGTTTGGTTTTTTGTGAGATTAATATTTAATGTATAGTCTTCGATCTAAACAATGATTGTTCAGGATTATGACGAAAGAATAAAAGATGATTGGAGTTTCAGTAAACACTAAGTAAGATTTAATGGATTTAAGAAAAGGATTACCTGTTTGCTAAGACTGTAAAATCTCGTAAATTAAATAGAATAAATAGTAAAAATGTCTCTTGTCAAGCACAGTAATATTCAGTATTCAGTATTTCTAAAACCTTTTAAAATGATCATCTGTTGTATCGAAATGAACATTTCAGTACACCTGATTTTGCGAATAGTTCCAGATGATCTTTGAAAATATTTGGTTGAATCATTCCGTTTTTAGAGAATTTTCAACCTTAATCAATAAAAGTATTTGTATGAATCATATTGTGCCAACTAGCGGAATGCCTGTGAATACTTTTCAGTGTCCGAAATCACTATCTGATAAGAAATTTTATATAAATGCTGAGAACCATGTTTGATACAAAGAGCTGATTTACTGGGAAATTAATTTTCAGTGTTAGACTAATACAAATTAAGGAAGTTACTGATCTTGTTATGTAGTTACATTTAAAGATTTTACATTTAAATAAACATACATTTTAGACTTTCTTGAATTTCTTTATTTGATTCTTTCGTAGTTACAAGTTCACGTGTACCTTTAGGTAGCTTAAGTGAGACAAAGAACGTCGACGAGATCTAGTACCACATTTTTCAACAATATTTATACTTTTTGGTTATATTGTAATTATGACTTCAACTTGGTTCAATTGAATTTATTTTTATAATGCGTTCGTAATATTTTTGTTTGATTTTCGAATTGTTTACCACATTTATGGTGTAGTCTTTGTACTTAATACATACACCAAGATTGACAAATTAATCAGCGGTTAGTACTGGATACAAAGAACATAAACGAATTGAGAAATCTTTCACATTATTTGTAGATGGGCAAATTTGAAGGGCAATGATAAGAAGTAATGTTTCATGTTAAATTTCAATACAATGTGGATTTAATCAAACGTACCGTAACCGACGTGTATATTCTTTGGGTACTATCCAAGTGTCTCGTAGTTTACTATCAAATATTTTAGAAATATAAGAGACGGTCCTGATAAAAATTTGTTAATACATTAGTTATTAGAAAATCGAACATGAGTCAGCTGAGTGAATTTTTGATGGCATAAAATATGAACACCAAATCATACGGAAAACTAATGCTCTATGAGTAATAATGAAGTCTGAATTATTAATATACAAAATTAATGTTACTTTTTATCCGATTGCTCACGTTTGTAAACCTCACTTAGAATGAGAAATTTCGGTTTATCTCTTTAATTCATATCCACAACTATCTGTTGAAAAATATAAATATTTATTTTTATCAGATTTAGGACACTATTTCGACTGAGTCATTTACGCTTCACTAAACGATTTATGTTAACTTCGATGTTTTAT